TCTAAACAATTTCAAATCATGAAGATCATGTCCACACACCACATAAATGATATGGAAAGAGTTTATGCAAAAGATGGGACCTATATCATGCTGTGATGAAAAAAAGCTGTGTAAGTTGCAAAAATGTGCTTTTGTGAACATGTGTATTTTTGAAATGTGAATTTTCAAACAACTTGCTTCTAAAACCAAATGATGGTGCTAACAACTTCTAAATGACTGTTATGAAGTGCTGGAAATGTGATTTTGGTAAAACAACAACTTATGCAAAAAATGGTAATTGAGTTGCTTGATATGCTTTGATGTGCTCATAACTTCAAAAATGGACAAAAATGCTTAAAATGCCAAAATCATGAAAAATGACACAAAAGCCGATGGAGACAAGTTACATACCTCTTGATGACCCTTTTGAATATGCTAGAATAGTTGAGAAAACCAGAGACCTCTTACTTCACTTTCTTGCCTTTGAACTTTTCTTCAACTTTAAGCAACAATGCACTTATGATGCCAAATGAAGAGATAGGGGTTTCCAATGGTTTCTAACAGCTTGGACAGTTGAGAAATGTCATTTGTGAGGTGTTAGAGTGGTTAGAATGCCAAGAATGTGCCTAGGACTAGTTTTGGTGATTTTTGTGGCTTTTGGTCAAAGTATGGTAGGTAGAAGTTTGACTTTTTGATTTTTGAAGTTTCTTGGTGGTTCAAAGTATCATACACCTTCTATATGATATTTAGAAGTTGTGTGGAGGGTGTTTGAGGTATTGGAAATGATAGAAATGAATTTGAGCAATCTTCACTCCATGACCATTTTAGGTGTTTTCATGGATTTTGGTGTTTTTGAGAATTTGAAGCAAGGAGTGGAAATTGTGATAACAGAGATTCTCTATGGTTTCTATCAGATCAATTGTGTTTTGAATGAGGTGAATGAGCCCTCCTTTTATAGGAAAATAGATTGAGGTGCTTGCTAGGGACCTTTCTTCATCATGAAGCAAACTTGTGATATTTTGGAGCAAACCTTCAAGGGAGGGTTTTCATCATTGGTTCTGATACAAAGCTATTTTGTCAACATTTCCCACTGATTTTTGATGTTTGTAGCAGGCTAGAAACCATAGGGAAGGGCTGGTGCAACTTCACTTTACACCTCATGGTTGGAATTGTCAAACTTGGCAACTTTGCCCACTTGTATGGCAATGAAGTCCAAGCTTTGATTTTGGGCTATTCCTCCACAATTTTCTCTTGTTTCATGCTACACATATCTGATATATCACATACAACAAATTGGATCAAGAAAATTTGGCAAAATTAGTGAAATAAGTCATTCTTGAAAATTGGCCAATGTGGGACTAAAGTGTGAAACCCTCAACTTTGCACCTATGTAACTTTCTGCTCATAACTCCTCTTGAGATGTTCTAGTACAATTTAGAAAGCCCTCACATAGTACTAAAACTTTCATGTTGGCCAGAAATCTTGATTCTATTTGAAACTAGGTGAAAAACCCCCTTGAAGTTGGCTGATTTTAGCTTTTAAGGTGAAAATAACTTAGAAATTTTCTAAGTTATTTTCCCTTCTAGGAATGTTTTTGCTTATATCTCAAAAAGTATGCATTTTCTGGTTGTGGACTAGTATGGGACTTTTGTAGGACTTGTCAAGAGCTTTCAAATGAGACTAGAACCAACTCAATTGGATGTGTGGTTAAGGAGATACGGTTTAGCCCTTTTCAAAACCCTAATTTCCCGATTTCTCGATTACTCTCTCATTCTTGATCCAATGATCATGAAAATTGATATGCAAGTCCATTATGACATAAGGAACAACTTTGATTCACAACTTGGATTCCAATTCTCAAAATTTGAGGAGTTGACTTTTCGGTCAACCGTACGATTGATCGGTGCCGATCGAGTCGCCTGTTGATATTCTGGACATCCTGGGACTTTGAAACTTCTTGAATAGTCTTTAATAGCCTATATTAACTTCATGGACCTCACTCCCACCATTAAAACCTTTCCCAACATCAAAGTCAAACCACAGTTGACTTTCCACTGGTTAAAAACCCTAATCGGGGCCTCCTGACTGCACTGTTCTTGATTCTGAAACGATTTCTTCAAATTGACTTCCCATTTGACTTTGATATTGTCTTTGATTTCATTCCATGATTGAATTGGCCCAAATCATTGGTTGATCATTCCTTGATTGTTTTGAATTTGTCGGTGCGAGAACCCTGATTCATTTGTAACTTGACAATAATAAACTTGCACTGATTTAGGGTTAGATAATTCATGATCATGCTTCTAAAAATGATAATGAGGATCTAAGGGGTCAAAATTTGGGGTACAACACATATTCATAATATCACATAATTGTATCATATTCAATTGTATCAGAACAAACATTTTGCAGTTTATCAGAACAAACAAGCTACAGTTTACACATTACATAACATCACATAATTGTGACTTGGTATTTTGGTTTCTTGTCTCTTGGTGTCTTGACGCTAAAGACCTATGATTTCAAATAATTATACTTGTTAGTAAAAATACTTAGAAACTATAACATACAATTAATATATTATGAATAAAGAGTAAATTGCGTACTTGTTAATTTTCCCATATGCCTTCTTCATGATCGGTTTGAATAACATGCACGACATCTCCATCAACTTCATCGTATGAGGTAGGAACTTGTGTTATGTAAGAAGGTGTGGACGGGAATATAAATACTTTCATCACTAAGAGGAATGTGTTTTCTTTGGAGAACGATTGACCATTCCCCCGATATGTCCGATGGGTCGGTAACATAGAAAACTTGTTTTGATTGAGAAGCCATGATGAATGGTTCGGTCATAAAATATGCCTTGCCAAGGTCGACCCGGATGAACCCTAAGTCATCAATATGTACATCATTACTATTATTGGGAATCCACTTGTATTTAAATAAATCCACTTTGAAAATAACATAATCAATCTCCCAAATCTCATCAATGACACCATAAAACGCGGTAGTTGCCAATACAGGATTCTTATCTTTCAGACTAGAGAAATACATCGATTCGACTTCAACCATAACCCTACTATTTTGTGTTGTACTACAATCATCTTTTGATTTTGTATAAAAGGTATAATGATCAATGTCGTATGCAATCCAAGTAATGACACAAAATTTTGACTCGTACGACACCCATTTAAGTATCTTGGATGCACTATGATCATTAGATACACTTTTATTAAACCAATCTATGGTCTCTTGTTATACTCTATCAACAACAACTTGTCACTCATTCGGGGATATTTTTTCCTCAAAAGTCTTTTGTGAGTATCTATGAAAGGTTGAACTTCATCTATATTATTCAATATATAAAAATGTGCTTGAGTAACTACATCTCGAGCCATTGACTTAACATTTAAACCTTGAATACCTCTTCCGTTTGTGTCAGCATGACGAAACTTTGGAAATTCCTATAGAACATGTATCCGACAAATAGTTTGTATAAAACTCAACAACCTCTTTTGTGATGTACCTTTCAACAATCGAAGCTTTTGGCCGGTGATGATTATTCGTATATCCTTTAAAGATCTTCATATATCGCTCTATTGGATATATCCACCTTAAATAAACTGGACCACAAATTTTGTTTTCTCTGACTAGATGAACAAGTAAGTGAACCATAATGTCAAAAAATAATGGATGAAAATACATCTCCAATTGAAAAAAGACTTTGGAAGCCTCATCTTATAATTCATCTAATTTTTTGAAATCAAGAACTTTATTACATATGGCATTGAAGAATAAGCACAATCTCGTTATAGTTATTCTCACATTTTTTGGTAGGATCCCACGAATAGCCACTGGTAGAAGTTGTTGCATCAATACATGACAATCATGAGATTTTAAACCAATTAACTTGAGATCTTTTATTGATACAAGTTTCTTGATGTTCGATGAGTAACCTTGTGGAACTTTAATACCTTGCAAACACTCGTAGAAAATTTTCTTTTCCTTTTTAGATAGAGTGTGACATGCTTGAGGCAGATAAGTTCTTTTTCCTTTCTCTATTAGAGGCAACTATTTTTGTATACCCATCTTCTCCATATCAAGATGGGAAGTCTTACTATCTTTAGTCTTGCATGGAATTTTTAGAAGTGTGCCAATCAAACTATCACATACATTTTTTCCATGTGCATCACATCAAGACAATGTCTAACATCAAGACTTGACCAATATGGAAGATCAAAGAAGATGAACCTCTTTTTCCATATATTTTTCGCGACTGACCCTTTTTCTTTTTCTCTATTCCTAAAGACAACATTAATGTGTTTCTGCCGTTGATAAAATTCATCCCCGATTAAAGCTTCAGAAGCCTCATCAAACTCATGCTCTCCCTTAAAAGCCTTACGTAATCTACGATAAGGATGACCGGTTTTAAAAGTTTCTGATGCCCAAGGTAAACGGTGTTTTTTCCAAACTCAAGTTGGTGATAACAAGTATTATCTTCACATATGGGTCACACTCTATGTCTTTTGACACTATATCTAGCCAAGTTACTGTAAGCAGGAAAGTCATTGATTATGCAAAATAACATTTCACGCATCTTAAACTTTCCCCCAGAATATGCATCATCAACTTCAACGCCTTCATCCCACAAGAGTCGTAAATCATCAAATAATGGACTTAGATAAACATTTATGTTGTTACCAGGTTGTCATGGTCCAGAAATTATCTATTTCGGAAATTGATACAAGTCTTCATACTCTTTCTAGTATAATATGCAATCATTAGGCAAAAATGTATTTTGATATACTCCAGACCCATTGGACACAATATATTCTTTGTCTCATAACAACGATCTGCAATTTGTTATCTTTTGGTAACATTTGCTTTAGCAATTCAAGTAATTTCGTAAAACTTTTATCCGACCATCCATTTTTTGCCTTCAGATTAAACAACCTTAACACCATCGACAATCGTGTAAAATACGTGCATCCCTTATATAAAGGGGTGTCTTTATCACTTCATAAAGTATCATAAATATGAGCATTCTTAAAAGAAGAAACCCCAATATCACGAAACATATCCTCTAGTTGATCTTCCATATATTCATCTTCATCCACTCTTTGACTTTGTGACGCCCGGCTTTCCTCTTTATCCATCTCACCATGCGACATCCATATTATATAATTTTGACATATACCGTCACAACAAAGGTGATGGAATATTTCTTTCTTTGTACCCTTTTTGATATTTTCGCAAACAACACAAGGACAATAAAAGATACCATTATTGTCGGGAAGATGTTTATCAATGTATTCAAGGAATTCAAGAACTCTGTTCTCATAAACCGGACCTAATTTATCGGCTTTCATCCAACTACGATCCATGACAACTTCTGAAATTTATACACGTATAATAATGTGAATGACACACCAAAATCTAATCCAAAAACTTAAGCATATGCATATGCAAATCTAAACCTAAAGCATATGAAACATGTACTCTTATACTGACTTAAGCGTATACAACATAAACAAAGAAAAAAGGAATGAAGTTGTTGAAAAATACCGTACTTCAAAGATGAAGAATCTTATGCACGTAAGAAATGAAGATGTTGAAGAGTACCGTACTTTGAAGGTGAAGAATCAAATGAACTAAGAGGGTGAATATTTGAGCATATACAACATAAACCAAGAAAAAAGGAATGAAGGTGTTAAAGAGTACCGTACTTCAAAGCTGAAAAACCAAATGAATGAAGAGGGTGAAGATTTGAGCTCCAAATGAATGGATACGAAGAGGGTAAAGTTTGTCTATGGGGTCTTATGAAAGAAATACACAATAAGTTTTGTTTTAATTTATTAGTAAACCTTTTAATCGCGGTTGGACAACCCAACCATAATGGAATTGTAAGTCCTCTAACAACGGTTGGTTTACTTCACCCTTGTAAAATCATTTACAATTTATATTTTGAATAATGGACTTAAGTGGCACACACTTAATGTACTCTAAAAATGGAAAAAAAATATATTTGTTGGGAATCAAAGCTTGCTACACATTGTTTATTACTTCGGTGTTTTAAGACAACCGCCATTAAATTATTGTTTATAAATCCAGCTACTCACTGTGTGTGAAAATTTAACTTATTACAACAATGTATATGAATCCATTGTAAACCTGGTGTTGTTGTTTACGCGTTTTGTAGTAGTGAACATTTGAAGCCTTTGTATATAAGGGCTAAGGTGGAAGGTGTCGGGATAAATAAGGTTCTGATAGAATGTGAAGCCTACATTACAATAATGCCACATTCCTTACTTAGGAAGATTGGGAAGTCTGATACAGATTTGAAGTCCAACAATATGGTCTTGTAGAACTATGACAAAAAGACTAGCATGCCCTTAGGGGTCATACAAGTAAATGTGGTCGTAGGAACCACCACTCGACAAACTTTATTCATTGTATTTCAAACTAAGGTAAATTATAATTTGTTACTTGGTCAAGAATGAATACATGGGGTAGAATGTGTCCTTCTTCCATGCACCAAAGAATCACGATCTGGAAGCCCGACGGGATCATGGAACATATAGAAGTGGATCGAAGTTTTTTATGTGCATAGGTAAATTATGTCGACGGGAGGAACTCTGATTGATAGTTGGCGAATATTTTTCCATATGCACTCACATGATAAGGTTTTGATTTCAAAAGGGCTGATGTGTATTACTCCATAAAGATTCATCCTATTCATGGCTTTATGTGGGAGTACGAGACTAATGGGGGATATAACAGATGATCTGAATTTGACGAGGATGATGTCTGAGTTGAGCACACTGGCTCGAATTTTGGCATATGTGGTTGAAAACAAATTATTAGCAGCCTTGGAGTCCGAATCTCAAGATATGATGGTTGTCAAAGCCATAGAGTTTGAAGTTTAAACAACAAAAATTGGCCAGAACAGCCAAGAAACAACTTCAAAAAACCACACGCTCGATTGTATATATGATGACAAGCCTCTGGGGTTTAAAAAGAACCATTAACCTCGACCAAAAATATACAAGCTCAAGATCATATGGAAGAGGTAGATTTAGGAGATGGGATGACGAAAATGCCAACTTACTAATAATTGATAAATTAGAGTGGTATTGAGTGTGAATAATTGGCACATATTGGCTTAATTCAACCAATAAACCTCAACTTTTGTGCATATGTTGTATAGTTTATATTATAGTGTATATATCGCGTTATCGTGTAAATATGATTGAGTTTAATAGTTTTTCTCTAATTTTTTTAGGTATTCAAGCAAGGATATTTTTTCATATTCATATAGATCATTGAATAAGCTTTCTGATGCTTCCGACCGGGCCTCAAACGGAGTTACAGTTCAAAAGTTATGAATAAAATAAGTGCAGGATTTTGTTGTACTGTCAGCTCTCACCCTAAGCTCGCCGGGCAAAGCTGAGGCGAGCCAGAAATTCCAAAAGCTGCAGAAAAGACCGTCTTAATTCGTCGGACGAACCGGGGCTTTTCTGGGAGAATTTTCCCGGGCAGAAACACATTAAAAGGGCTAAAAACACATTTGTTAGGTTATGTTTTGGGGTATTTGTTCCCAATTCATCAAACCTTCATTTTTGATAGTTTAGAGCTTAGGAAAGCATCATGGAGGTTGCAACTCGACGATTGAGGGTGGATGATTCTTGGATCGTGATTGACACCACGAGAGATTTTGATTCCTCTTCTCTCTTCCCTTTGTAGTTTTTATTTGTTGTGAGTTTGTATGTAAGTTTATCTTGATTATATGTATATTTATTGCTCATGGTTGTCATACCCCAGATTTGTCCTACCTGTTGAGATTTCCTTATACCAAGTGGTTATGTGGATCGTTAACCTTTCTATACATTCAATTATAAGGCATGAGTTGATTTCAAGTTGGAGTCATGGTACAAGGCGACCTACTTTGTTTCAATTGGTTCATTTGTTTTCTATAAGATGTTATTGGACGGGTTGTTTCGAGCTTTGTGGATTTATGGCTAAGATAATATTAAGATGCCTCAAGCTTAAAACATATTTCTTTTGGATTGGATTTCAAGCTCAAAGTCATAATGCGAGCCATGTCTAGGTCACTCATAAGTCATATTTGAAAAAGGATACCAAGTGTTTATCAAGAATGATTTAATGTTGAAGTATACCATCACCACTTCTTTTTGGAAGAATACCATGCAAAGATTCATTCTTTTTCAAAGCTTACTCTACATTACAACAGGGTGATATTAGTTCATTTTACACAAGCACTCATATTGCTTAGGGAAAAAACTCAAGAAAAATCCAAAATGGTTTCTAGGGGTTATGGCATCATCAGTATAACTAAAACAAGTTAACTGCACCGAAACATAATAAAAGCAAAAAAAGAAAAAAAACATAATTTTCACTTTAGTTGAAGGATCTTCTCTATATTCTTCTATCGAGAATTGTTTTGAATTCGGAATTCAGAAAAATGTCTTCAACTGAAAACAATAACAAATCGAGTTCCAGAATCACATGGGAAGGTTGCAGCGTCTTGCTTGATATCAACGACGGCGACCGTCTCGTCTTCGCCCGTCTCTCCCCTGCAGCGAAATTGAAGATTGGTAAGAAGAATTGTTCATTGCAGTCATTGATTGGTTGTCCCTTTGGTACTGTTTTTCAACTCGACACTTCTTCCGACGGTCCTTTTCTATCGCCATTCCAACCCAAAGGTGATGTAAATAACGCCGACGAAATAAAAGATGGTCATTTCCAAGACGAGTCAAAAGATGATCAACTCAATAGTGAGTTGAAGGACAACCGGTCCCTGATCGACAATAATACTGCGCAAAGCCTCACTGGTGAAGATATAGAAGACATGCGAAGACAGGGTGCTAAGGGTAATGAAATAGTTGATGCTCTCATTGCCAATAGTGCATCATTTGATAAGAAAACATCATTCTCACAGGAGAAATATAGACGAAAGAAGCAGAAGAAATATGCACCAAGGGTACTTATAAAGCGTCCTGTTGCTCGAAGCATATGTGAGGCCTATTTCAAGAAGAATCCATTGAAAATTGGGTTCTTGAGGGTGGATACATTGTCCCTTCTACTTTCAATGGCTAATGTTTCTTCTAAGTCTGACATTCTTGTCGTTGATATGGTTGGTGGCATTCTTACTGGTGCTGTGGCAGAACATTTAGGAGGCACTGGTTTTGTATGCAACTCATATCTTGGACAGACACCACATTCCATGGATATTGTGAGGATATTTAATTTAAGTGATGAAATCTGCAATAGGAAGAAAGTCATCAATCAAAATTATTTGAGGTTATTATTTTCCAGCTTCATGACAAAGGAAAGGTCCTTCATGGCATATGATATTACACACCACCACAGAATAAAAGAATGGGACAATACCAACGACCATCACCGTAATTTCACGAGTCACAGCCTCTTGTACAACCACTTCAAGACTCCAAGACAAATTACAATGGACATCTTCTTTTCTAGTACAGCACGCGGGCAGCTCGTGTCGAATGAGCCATCTTGTTCTCAGCTTTTATGGACAAAAACGTCAATCAGTTTCTTTTACCAAGCTGCTAGCAAGACAACTTGTACTACCGAAAAAGCCGCAATTACCAACATACCCACAACGTCCCAAAATGGCACCTGCAAAATCACAAGAGAGGAAATCCATTACGTGGGGTCATGAGCCACCATCAATTCGCTAACAGCAAAAACAAAAGGATGAAAATTAGAAATTATGGACTGGTACAACAATGCAAAGCAAGCCTTCACAATACCACAAACTTTTCCAATAACCACAACATGCCAACCAACAGCCTGCTGCAAGCTGTCCCTGCTGCACTCAGACAACCAGCCTGCTACACAAGTCCACACCAGACAACTCTTCTCCCTGCTACACTCAACACACCAGCCTGCTGCAGATAGTACCTGCTATCAACAGCCCATCGTACCGACAAACCACATCCTGCTACACAAGGACAAATAACACACCAACAGCACCTCATGAACTTCAACTCAAAATTTTGAACTACCATAAAAAAATATTCAACTAGCCATTGCCTCGGACTTCTTGAATTTTAAACCACAACCTTCAATCCAAAAACGGTGGATCTCAAAACTACTTCCTTACCTCTGTTTTATTCTCACTAAAACTTCAAGCCCAACTTCTGATACCAGTCAGCAACAATGAATTGCCTTGCTTCATCATTTATCAGAATCACACAATAAACCCCCAACAACTTCGATCCTCAAAACCGTTTCCTTTCTAAACCATCTTCCATCTTCTCTAACTCTCAACATCAAACTTCATCACCATTTGAACATCACTTTCATTAACATCTGACTCCTTCACTCAAACAGATTC